CCTCACTTCTCATCAGCTTACAGGGCCTGCAGGACCTAGAGTGTTATGGAATCCCATCACCCCATCGTGTGAGGGAACTTGGATCCACGCCTCACAATTGTTTTTTTCATCTGCGTTTGTGTTTTCGTCGGGGGCGCAAGACGCAGAGCTGTTGGACGGGACTAGTGCATCTACTGACGTGAGTGGGATCAGGTTCCGAGGGCCACATGATCCGTAAGGCCCCGAACTCCCCTTAGACTGGCGTTTCTGAAGGGGAGCTTCTCACAGCATGTGCATGGGGGTAGGTGCGAGCGCTGGCCCATTCCCCACAGGGGTGACATCAAGCATTGCTGAAAAAACAAACAACAGCGAAATAAATAGAATTTATTTTATCAATTTATTTGTATTAAAATGGAACGCAATTCCTTTCTTAGACAAAATTTCCTCCAATTTCAGTTGTTCTCTTCAGCAAAATGGAGGTTGACTATGAGCCGCTCACAGAGGGGGGGTCGACGCACGGTCTGGACCCCCAGCATGCAGAAGCCAGCTCTATTGCGGCATCCAGTCCGTGGGGAAATCCATCCCCGCCAAAAACGATTCAAGAGGAGCGCCTTCGGTTGCGCCGTCGCACGCGATATGTTAGCCGCCGGGATGCAGAGGCCGTAGAGGAGTTCCTCAATTCCCTAGACTTATAGCTCCGCCTATAACATGCCCCAGAAGAATTCCAGTTACTGCTGGCATCCTCCTTATTAGAAGGGGACGCACGGCGATGGTGGCTACACTTAAGCACAGGTTTCCGGAGCACCTCAGGCCCACGCAAACCTTCCGGGACGCGCTACGTTGCATGTTTATTCCGAGGTCAGCACGGGAGCAGGCTATGGAGGAATTGAGAAAGCTTAAACAGGGAAAACTGTCAATAGAGCGTTACATTGGGAAATATCAGTCCTTGGTGAACTGAAGTCCTTTGGTGGATTCCGAGCTCCTGTATAATTGGTTTATAGCGGGGTTGTCCCCCCGTGGAAGGCAATCAGTAATTGTCTGGGCCATGGACAGGGAAATGAGGGGTGACCTAGTGTAGCACACCTAGTGTAGTGCACAGGCACTACAATGGATCCCTTGTGTGGCCTCTAGAGCCATAGTACCATGAAAAGGAATAAACACTAGGGAATTTCTCAGGAATTATGACACTTGTAGATAGAAAAGATGTATAATATGATCAAAGTGCTCACCAGCCGGCACCGGCTTGGGGCTGGGTGTGAGGCTGATGCTCTGGCTCTAGCACTGACCCTCAGCGATGGTCAGAGGCAGTTCTATTATTCTGGGTTTTCTTCCTGAACAGAGAATATGAACTCCAATGTGTTTTGGCTATATATGGCGTTTAATAGTGGAGTCAGCGAGAATCATGTGTTTAGGTAGATAGATGCAGAGTATACATCTAGTCAGAATAGCTTATGGGTTCATACGTAGTAACAGCGAAAGCCAGCTGTTCACTGCAGGTCTAGTTGGATTGCTCATTGTACTGCTCCTGCACAACACAACTCGTGCCAGGCCACCCCGTCTCCCCTCGCCGCAGGCCCTTGGAGTACAGGTTCCAGGCTGCCTAGAGACTGGTGAGGAGGTCAGCTGTGTTTTAGAAAGGAGGCATCCTGACACGAGCTGCAACGCACCCTGATGCAAATCGTACTGCAAGGCAGCCACGCATGCATGCACAACCAAGCACTGTTCCTGCGCGCATTAGCACTAATGACGACTGTTGAGCACTTATGTGGGCTCCAGTGTCATCCTCCAACTAAAAAGGAATACAAAGAGCGATTTCAAACAAAAACATGTTGTACAATGCTCATGCAAGTTGAATTGCAGATCAATACTTCACACAGGCCATCCCACAGACGATCTATATCAGGATCTTGGGGCGATGTGCGCACGGTGGTGGAAACGGGTTTGAAGGTCAGCTGTTCTTGGAAACCCTTATCTTAAGGTTCTTGATTCTATCGCAGCTCACCAATGTCCTCGACTAAGGCAGATGTCTCTCATTACACAGGCAGTGCAGTTCGAACATTTATTCCCCTAGGCAAGCCCTAGAGCACTTCTATTCGACGAAATCAAGTTTAGTCTTGTCAAAAGTTCCTTTAGGTCGCAAATAAGTGGTTTTATTGGGCACTTCAGATCAGCACCACGAATGTTTTCCGTATAACCAGGGGCAGCATACACTGAACAGAAGAAGTGGATGCTCAATTGTGATGGATCTTCTGCATTCTCAGACGGGTGTTGTGAGACGCTCCTTTGCAACAGGCCAGCTAGGCGGAGTTTCGGGCCTTAGAGATCATCGGGCCCTTGGAAGTGGACTCCACTCTTATACCGGTTGTTCTCTGTGCCTAATCAAGGACAGAAGGGAGCTGCAATATCGGTAAACCCCTAAAGCAAGGGTTTCCCAAATGCTGCCGACTGCCTCGTCCTCCGGCCTTCTGGGCGTTGGAGTCACGGCCTGGCTGTTGCAGAGAGGAGGCAGCCTGAAGTGGGGTTGCAGCGCACCTCGCTGCGGATGGTAATACAAGCGAACCTCACGCGTCCACAGAAGGAACCTTCAACAAAGCTTCCTTTGCTGCATGTTTTACCTCTTAATGCACTTATAGAACGTTTGCATTTGCTTATACGCAACCTACCAAGGCCAATCGAAGGGCTCCTGTGCTGACTCATGCTACAGCTTCCCCTCCGCCGGCGAAACGAGCACGCCACCGTGCTCAGATTGCCGCGTTGAATGTGGTAGGGCTGCGGCATGTCTCCTGCTGTTCGTGCTGCCGGTCCCGTTGCGGATGCTGCTCGCCGTGCAGCAAACCACGTCCAAGAAGCAGAGGAGCACGGTGCCCTTGTACGGGTACAGCAGCAGCAGATGGACGCCGCGGTGCTGCTGCTCGAGCGGCGGCTCCGGGTACTGCTGCTGTTGCTGCTGCGGCGGCTCACCTAGCGATTGCCGTTCCTGATGATGACACGATAAGGAAATACTTAAAAAGAGCCGCATATGCCTTCAGTATAGACTCAATTTTAGAGGTGAGTGTAGTTAGCACATCAGTTGCCGCATCTGACTCGAACCGGGAGTCGTGATGCGCTCGCCCACCCCCGCAGGTACTTCGCCACCATCGGGGCATCCTGAGTCGCTAGAGCTGCCAGTGTGGACAAATAAATGTCAGAGTCAAACTGTAGGTTCTGGAGATCTTCCGGAGGAAAGCTGCAAGTGGGTGTAGGTTTAACTGCTTTTAGCGCTAATTGCACGCTCTTCATGGGGTTGAGAGGTTGCGTCACAGGGGGTCAATCAATAATCGAGAAACTGCCATAGGTCAATACAGGCATTCGATCTCCACCGTAGCGAGGGACGCTGATGCCTTCGCGATCCGGACCTCAGTGCCTGGCTAGCCTTGCTGACGCCGCTTCCGGCGCCTCCACTGTGTTGTGGCGTGCTAAGGCTGCATCTTTGCATATATGGCTCCAGGTTACTCTTTGCTTGGTGTGTGGCCCGTCTTTCCCTCGCGAAGCATCTTGTTGTAGGCGGCTGGAGCTCCCGGTAAAGCCGCAGAGGTGGTGCCCAGCCGCAACAGATGAGAGTACAACCTGTTTCATGTCTCCCCCTCGCAGCTCGCTGTGTACAAAAATGAGAGGAAAAATAGAAAGGCAAGCTGTCAGTAAGGTTAGCTGTCAGGGAAACCTGAGGAGGAAAATAGGGAAATTTGCTGACACCTAACACGAAATCTGTTGCTAACTAATGTTCTGTTGAGCAGTTCTTCTCACACTTTGCATGCGCACACTGCCACCGGACCAAGTAGAGCCGACAGCTGATATGGGTGGATCGCTTCCCTTAAGCGATCTTCCAAAAACCACTCACTTTCACCGGTCTCCGGACATTTCACATAGTATTCGCATTCCGTATGACATCTGCGAGTGGTAATCCGCGCCTCTAGAACCTGTGTATAATCCATGCGTGGCTTGTCGCGTGGAAGTTGCTGTTGTTTCCCCACCAGGTATTGCAGAACCGCGGGGGCTCCCAAAACGATTTCAAGAAACCGAGACTAATAGTATGATGACATCTCCAGGTTGACGGTAGGTCAATGATGTAGGCCAACACATTGACCCGAGAGCGGAGAGCAAACGGCCCAACCCAACGTGTTGCGAACCTTCGAGATTGCTCGCCCTCTTGCGCGCTACGGAGGGCATGCAAATCCACTAGAACCAAGTCACCTGGGTTGAAAGTAACTGCTGAACGTCTTTTGTCGGAGTTTCTGGTTTGGCTTTCCTGTGTCTTTCTCATGCATTCCCGCGCTGCTGCGAGCTATCTGCGGAAGTCAGAAACCGTGATCACGTGGGGCTGGCTTCCAACAGCGAGATCGAGCGTCGGGTCAAGCTCAAGGACTTTTTGTGTAGACCAGAGACGCGGGGGAGCAGCGAGTTGACGAGTGCATTGTAGTATTATAGATCTATTCTGCATACACAAAATAATCAAGCCAGTTAGATGAGTTCTATTGGGTGTAAAGTCGCAAGTACTGCACCACGGTGATGTTAGTTCGTTCGGCCTGGCCGTCTGCCTCCTGATGGTTGGCGGTGGTCATGTTGTGGCCGATATTGAGCTGTTGCATAAGGCTGCACCAGAAGGCGCCAATAAACTTCGGATCCCTGTCGGTAATGATGATTTTGGGGAAGCCACGGAGCTTTCATATATGATTAATGAACACCTGAGCCACGCCTTCCGCTGCGACGGTGCTCGAGCAGGGAAGAAAATGAGCGTATCGGGAATCGGCAGGCTCTGCAACAGTCCGGGATTGAGGGTGTTCCACGGCGTTTGCTACTGGCAGTTTGGAGAAGAGATGGAGCATCGCTCGACTGAGGGGCGCTTCCCGGCCACCAAAAGGAGCTGGCAACACGGTCCACCGTTGTATTGATCCCAACATGACCTGCCAAAGCATGATCACGCATTTTGCACAAAATTTCCGTGCGAAGCGAAGCTCGAACGTACAACCACCGAACACCACGCTTCCTTTGATATCACAGGAGGCTGCTATCAATGCTGTAGTGCTTGACCCGTCGCCCTTTGTTGAGCTTAGCTAGAACGACAACCGCATGAGTATCTAAGGAGTAAGAAGAAGAACAATGCGGACAGGAGGATGTCAGCTGCTTTGGGAAAACTCATACTTCAACTCGTTACCTTCACTTCACCTCGCTCATGTCTGATAACTGGTGCTACAATGGGATACCCTGTGGGGATGCGCCATGCAGCCACAACGCTGCGTCTATAGGCCCAAGTCTCGTGACGGCAAATTAAGAGGTAGAAGAGGGTAGTACTCCCCGTCATTTTGCTCGCCGCTTCAGATGAAACACCCGAAAGCAGGCAGCTAGGGCGTAGGCTGACCAGCCCCAAAGCCCCAAGCCCCAAAGCCCCATGCCGTTAAGGCATACTAGATGTCTCCAAGTTCTGATTCAGTGCAGCTCGCCATATATCGTAAACTTCGTGCCATTTTGAAACTCCGAGACTATGGTGGAAAGCTAAAAGCAGTCAGCATACAACGGTGAACGCTGAGCAAAGTCTCTCCTGTCGCTGATCGCCCTCCGCAAACTGCCTGAACTAACTAGGCGGAAAGATCGACTAACTAACGTCAAACGCAGCTGCTGAGGAAAGCTCTATGTGAAACCCAGCGAATTGTTACCTCAAACGAGGGGTATGCGTAAATGGGCTTACCGCCTTGATTGCGTGCTTTGGTCACCTGTCACTTACATCAAGGAACCCCTTGAGAGGCTTGCTACACGCGATATTCCTTGATTAGTTCTTTTTATGTGAGCGGAAAATCTGCAGTCTCGACCGTCATTCAGGGTGCTATCAGCTATAAGACGTTCAGGATGACGAAGCAGTCAGAACTAAGGCTGGCGGAGGAGCCATTCAAATATAGGTGCGCTCTCCTCCTTTTTCAAATATCACAGTTGAAACGTTCACCCGCCTTTAGCTGTCATTGGTATCCCATCGTTTTAATCCCGTGTTGGCAGAATAGCAGAAGCAGTCTTCCGTTTACCAGCAAGTGATTCGGGACTAGACTAGGGCCATCTACTGCCTACCGACGGCCTAGTGTTCGCTTACATCTCCAGTAGCTCAAGTGTACATCTAAACTGCGTAATGTTCGTGCTGAGCAAGATGTCCCTAGCCAGTTCATAAAAATGCACCCATAAAGCAACTCAGAAAAAAGTTACGAGCAGTCTGCATGCATGCGCTGCCCCCCATTCAATCGAACCGCAGTGGACACTCAGCATTCGCAGTTGCCAAAATGGATGTCTCCAAAGAAAAAAATAGATCGAGTACTTCTCCTAGTCAGCCGAATACACCCATGGACGTCCCCTTAGTATCTGAGGCAGATTCTTCACCCCGAGTACGTCTCGGCAGACCTATCTGGCAAGCACAGATTGCTTATTCGATAAGGTGTACCACTTACTCGTCACTTCTTTGTTGATAAACGGGCTTAAATGCTTAAATGCGCTTGCTGAGAGTTGAACTCTGCTTTTCCAAATGAACAACATAAATCCCAGGCGCTGCATGATGAAAGTTGTGGATGTCAAGCACTCACTCAAAATGCGCAGGATGGAGCAAGCACAACCGAGCAGACAAGAGATCTAACTGCTTGCACTTTTGACCATGCCCCTGCGATAGCTTCCAAGCTGGTACCTTTCACACGGTTGGGGCTCTATGATTCACGAACGCCTAGAACATCAGCAGCTGTGAGGGGACGCTGGACGGCAGAGT